GTGATCCGATTGTCGTTCATGTTTAATTTGAAATCGTTAATGTTGGAATCGACTGGATCCATTTAATGTGAAAGGGTTGTGAAGAAAAGATTCTGGTTAGCGGACTCAATCTGTGATCCATCTACGAGCAACAACAATGGCTTCATTTCAGCCAGCCAGTCATCTATTTGAACGAAACATATCCTTGAACGATTTGGACTCGGCTTTGGACGTGAGAGAAATCGTACGCAGAGATGTCGTGGTGCCAGAGGACGTCACGAAACACCGCTATCTCGACTCGTCGACCAAGTATTCGTTCGTGCTAACGTCATTTCAAGATTTCACTATCGAGTTCCGCAAATTCGTGTACAGCTTTCTAGTCGACGGCTATATTCTCAGGGAACTTGAAGCCGCGAGGAGACTCAATTGGTGTTCCTCCTTGGGCCGTATGGTCACGGTGAACACTCTGGGTGATGGAAACTGTCTTATGCATGCAGCTTCCATTGGCATGTGGGCAGTGAACGACAGATATCAAACACTGAGAAAAACTGCCTACGAAGCATTACTGGAGGACGTGGAAGGTACAAGTAAGTTAAGGTCTATAAAAAGGGAATGGGAGAGGAGGGGGTTGGTGGTCGCTTTTGCCCAGCTTTGCCCCTTACATAAGAATGTAAAAGTTACCCCTCCCCCAGGGGTGACTATGCAGGAAAGATTGAAATATATGTTAAGTGATATTTCATAATCTTAATCTTTCAATGTCCTTCTTTGCTGGTAATTGAGATATAAATAATTATGAACATTTTTGTTTTAGATTTCATAAGGAAGTAAAAAAAAGTGCTGCTTTGTTCAGCATACAAAACAAAATATTATTGTTGAGTGAAGTTCCTATGGGAACTATGTACAAAGTGGCTATGGTTGACTGGATACTGAAAAATTGGAAATTCAAGTCATGCACTAAAGGCTTCCTTCTCTTGTACCAAAATTAACTCTTAACTCAAACCAAAAGTGATTTATGTTGAGAAAATTATCCTGTGTCAACACTGCATGCCATTGTAATTAAGAACCTCTTAGTTATACGTGAAATACAGGGCTCGTAAAAAGTACTGGGCAAATAACTTCTCATTCTCACTTGCCTGATTTGGTGAGGGCTAAAGAAAATAATTTGCCAACTTATTGTAAAAAAGTCATTTAAAGTCGATACCTTGTTCTTTTTTTTAGGATTTTACCATGGCCGTTGGAAAGCTGAAGAAGAACAGCAGATACTACATCAGATTGGTGGATACGACAGAACAGAGGAACAGTGGAATCATGAATGGGAGGAGGTTATCAGGCTCATTTCTCAGACTGAGTTCCCATGTGGCCCAAATGGTGCTCAGTTTGGAAGCCTTGCAGAAATTCACATCTTTGTCCTTGCTAATATTCTGCGTCGTTCCATCATTGTGGTGTCAGATGACACCCTGAGGGGACCTTATGGCGATTCGTACTCTCCAATAAACTTTGGAGGTATCTATTTACCTCTGCTCTGGGACTCTGTTGACTGTGTGAAAAGTCCGTTGGTAATTGGCTATGCAGGTGGACATTTCACAGCAGTTATCAGTATTCAAGATGGTAAAATGGATCTAGGCATTGAAAACAATCCAACAGCAAGCAGCTCAAGTAATTGCATTCATGCTGTGCCATTAGTAAAATATGATGGAACTCCATTACCTGTTCATTTCCTTTACGATCATGAAGCACCATTAGCAAGTGACCGTGTCCGCCAGTACTTAGATTGTGCAAAGGTACCCTTTTCAAGCAATCAAGGAGAAACCAGGCAAACAGTTCTTGTTGCAAAACTGCACTTTTCAGAGCAACCACGCTGCATGAAAGAGCTCATTGATGGGTACTTCAGGAAGGCTAGGGAGGAACACCAGCGAGTATCAAGACACAGTCAACTTCATGTTCAATTGCAACCAGGTACCAAACAGCCAGCTCTACAGATTGTGGAATGTCAAACTCAGGGCTGCAGTTTCTTTGGATCCACAGAAACTGGTAACCGCTGCTCTAAATGCCTAAATGAGTTTCTAAGGACCTTGGGACCTGCTTCTGAACCAAGGCAACATGTTCCTACAGGACAGCCAATTACCTCCCCGCAACCTGTTGCAGTAACAGCACAACAAGCACCAAATACCAGTGCATGGCAACACATCGTAACAACACAGGCAGCACCTACTACGAGCGTGGCACCTTCCATGACCCTCCCTACAGCGAGGTCTGTTAAATGTCGTACCACAGGATGTAAGTATGGAGCTATTCCTAATGGAGGTGGTCTTTGTGAGAGGTGCTCTGAAGCTGAGAGAAGTGCCGAAGAAATGGCAGCAAGCATGAATCACATGAGTCTGGCCTCAGCAAAGCATTGTTCAAACAGTGTGAATGGCTGTGAGTTCTTTGGCTTGCCTGAACATCATAACTTGTGTTCCAGGTGCTACAGAACCTTCTGTCTTAATATGGAAAACACTTTGGGAGTGCTGTCCCCTACTGGATTACCACCAAGCAGTCCCACAGCATCGACACCACCAGACCAATGCCAGATTCAAGGATGCCTATCTCCTGGTGTCCCTGCATTGTATGGTATGTGCGTTCAGTGCTACACTCGTTGTATACATTCCTTTATACGTACTCAAGGAAGATCTGTTGGAGGTGCGACGCAAACTAGACCACATCAGCCATCACCACCAGTGGATGTCATGAGAAAGAAACAGTTACCTACAGGTGGGAGGAACAAAGGTGTCCTATGTGCTTCTCCTGGTTGCTGCAACGAGGGAATCTTTCATTTGTCTGACCTATGTGCAGAATGTCATGCAAGGAACACTGCTCCATCTTCACAGACGAGAAATGCTTCAGTGACCACAGCAGGCATGGCAAGTTTTCCAGTACCTCCACCTCCTCAGAGCTCCGTGACAGCAACAGCTTCTTTGACAGCAACAGCTTCTGCTGCTTCTGGTCATCAACTCACATCAGCACTTACAAGTGCTATTGGCTATAATAATAATTACTGTTCCAATCCAATGTGTCGCAATCCAAGAAGAAAGAATGGAAGAGGCTTATGTCAGAGATGTGAAAGTCTGAGCACTGGCTCCTTGCAAGTCAATCCTACAGTTAGTTTGCAACAGCCAACGAGACCGTTTGATGCAGCTACCACAGTATCAAGTATGCCACCAAGGCAAAACACACTAGCTTACTCAAGTGCCATGTCACAAATGTATACCACTTCTGAGATGGGCCTTCCACGTCAAGTGACCTCAGCTCAATTACCACCTTCTGGAGCTAACACTGGCAAGTGTGTCGTGGGCTGTGGAAAACCAGCAGTGCAGGAAGGTGGTTTGTGTGAGCAGTGCTATGCTGCAGCTTATCAGCTGGAACTTAACAGACAAACAGTTTCCCAGCCATCCAGACAACAAAGACCCGTAGCATCTAGATCAGTCACAAGAAACCAGGTATGCACTCATCTGATGTGAATTTGTATGGTCTAGATAGAAACATAGTTATAATGAGATATCACTCTGCTACATGTACATGTACATGTAGAGATCTACTGCGACAGTAGATCTGAGTTGTATGTAGCCAAAGTCAATCAAAGTTTTTCTTCCCCTGCTGACTCAATCACATTTTACACAACTTGTCGATGGAGAGGCATCCATGTTGCAAGTATATACTGCAGTTTCTTAATTAAAAGTGTCTTTCACATTATATACTAGGGACCTTCAGATTAAAGTACAAACAGTACAAGATGGAGTATGAATACAACTTTTCAGTCCATTGTGAACAGATTGAAAAAATTTTGATTGCCAAGTATACATTCTGAGTCAAACTTGATGTTCAGCATACTTTACCTGAAGGTCCTTATAACCCAGAGTTGCACATGGGTAAATCCATTCTTACCAGATATTGTAAGCCAGAAGTCCCTGCTGTGATCTCAATTGCATGTTTTTTTGGTTGATTTCTTTTCAAAGGTGGAACAAAGCAATATTGCTGAGACCAGCTCTGGTAGCAATATTCAACAGACCGAGGCAACAGCAGCCAAGAAAAAGGCAACACTGCTACCATGTCCTTCTAAAGGATGTATGCAGTTTGGCAGCCCAGAGAAAAATGGCCTTTGCGATGATTGCTATCACAAGAAGGGCAACCAACAGCAAGGTGCATCAGCAGCTACTGGAGCTAATGAGCAACAACAGGCTTCAAACCACACGTGGGACCTCCGCAATACTCACAATACTGTAGAGAATCATCAGTTCGGCAACAGATCTTATGGACTACAAGGTCCTGTGCAAGTCTCCCAGATTCAAAGTCCGTCATATGAGTCTGGCACAAGTGGTCAGAACTCGAGTTTGGGAAATGGTGCCTTACATGGTCAGAAATGCTGTGGGACCAACTGCACCCTGTTTGGAACACCAGAGATGAATGGCTACTGCTCCAGGTGCTTTTTGGAAAGCACAATACCTCAGTCATACCCTCATTCAATTCCAGGTAATGTTCATTGAGCTGTGTACTACATGTAGCTTAAACATGAAAGAAATGAATCAACTTACAGGTGGTATGATAAGGTGCATTAAGAACTAAGAGGTGAAGTTCTCCTAATTTTTTGTCATCATGAGCAATTTATACTCTTCCTGCATGTGTTAACTGAATTTTTATTCTCAATCTTTTGGTAGATTTCCCAGCTGAAGTTTCATCATCGTCTGTTGCATCCTGCACCACATCAACAGAACAGTGCAGAGTAACTGGTTGTGCCAATGTTGCCGCAGCAGACAGGCATGGTCACTGCCAAAAATGCTTCACAAGATTTTACCCAGACGTGGTTCATCGTGAAGCAGTTGTTGAAAGGCAGATGTCTGAATTGGCTGAAACTGTTAATTAGTTATTGTAAATGGAAAAAATCTTGTTTGAATTGAACACATTATGATTATAATCTTAAAGCTACACTGATGATTTATGGCAGATGTATGTGTATGCCTTAGTTCACAGTGCTGATCAAAAAAGGAGAACACTAAAACTGACAGTGGATCATGTCACAAAAGTAAAGCAAGTCAAATTTGAGATCAGTAATAATATTGTGAACAGTCCTTCAAGTCAATGAATTCATCTGTTTGGGGTCTTAATTGTTAATTACCTATCTTGCTTGAATTCATAAGCTTTTGTGACTGAGGCAGTTAGGGAGAAATCTTACTACTGAGGAAAATTCAATGGGCTTAAATTTCTTAAAGAAGCGGTGCTGGTCATTTTAACAACGAGCAATTGATGATTTGTGCTGAGAAGTTGTCTTTCTTTTCTCCCCAGTACAGTACAAATATTAGAAAGAAGCGGAGTTGTGGGAAACATCCTGGGCTGTTCTTGCATGCTGATTATTCTGTCATGATTAAAGGCTTAGAGAAGGTTGGAGAAACTCAGTTTCTCAGACTATGAAAAAAAAAGCTGTCAGACTTTTATTCTTGGGCAACAAAAAATATAAAAAATAGTTATACAGTCTAACCTGTTTATACAGATGCCAAATAGGCATAGCTGAGTGTCACTATGATACAGGCAGAGATTATATGGTTTCTCTGGGACAAAGTGAACTGGCCGTAATATAGGGCTGTGTGTCCATATTTGTTCAACACTGTCCTGAAAACAGTAGTCAGCAGGGAGAAGTTTTCCATGTTAATCTCAACAGTGTTATCACTATTTATACAAACAATAGCCTCCATTTGGTGCAAAAATATGCTAGCCAAAGGATATTTTCCGCAGACATTATCTGTTCCGAGAAGCGAACAGTTTTCTAAGAGCGTAGCTCGAGGAAAACTGTGAGCTTCGAGGAACAGATAATGTCCAAGGACAAATACCCGAGCATATTTTCGCCCTAAATGGAGGCTATTGTGTTTATATTCTTCAAATCTTTTTCGCAGCGGGCGCAGTTTTAAAAATTAGGGAATATTCTCGGATATTCCCCAGTTTTAGCTGGGGAATATTCGGTCACGTGAGAGCGTTTGGACCAATCGCGCGCGAGCAGAAATATTTGATGGATTATAATTTCGGATATTACCAGTTTTAGCAGGGGAATATTCGGTCACGTGACGTGTTTAGACCAATCGCGCGCGAGCGAAAATATTTAATGGATTACAAGTTACGTTGCTATATGGCAAGGTAGACCTCCATGCGCTCGGTTCGCACTGCCCCGACCTAAGAGTAACTTTTATTTGCATATGATAGTTTCATAAGCCTTAGTAGCTCGCAGCTAGCAAAGCTATTCTGGGCGAGCTTCTATTACATTGGGCCAGTATTTCTCAGCACGGCCCTCGCGCGCGTTCGGTTAGTATGAGGTTACGATACTAAATACTACATACATGCATGGTCGGTTGTAAATTCAGATTTACGACTTTAATAAGTCTTTGAATCCAAGTTCTTTTTTCCTCCGTTTCAAATCAAGTCCCGGTGCAAAACTTGACTCGTTTTACCATCATGCTTGTTTTCGTGAAAATCAGACACAATCTTACCGATCCAAGTGGTTTCGCACCAGAATTCGTTTTATTGAACACAGGGAGATAAGGGAACTCGAAAGTCTCCTATCCAGCAACCAGAGAGCTGAAGGATGCCGCTTGGAGTATATCCTCGCGTATACCTCAGGTTAATTCGACGGCTCGTTTTGACTGATAGCTCGATTTCAGTGTTATTTATCACCTTTCAGATGAAAGAAACCTACCTCGTTGAGATATTTTGTGAACTTAACCCGGAGGTACATGACAGAGCCGTTGGAGAATCCATCACCAAGCTTGCGTTTGAAGCCGTGGCGAAGATAGTACAGGTAAATTAGTGCAAACTTTCCAACTCACTGATCTGAAGATATTGGGCAGCTAATTTCATTTACGCATTGGCACTTGACAGTTTCTCTGGTATGATTTTAGGGGAAAGTTAAACCTAATGCGGGTTAATTTTTAAGTCAAGACAGGGTGCAGACGTTGACGGTGTTTTCAAGAGCTTAAGAAGTTCCTATCTGCGAGATGACGCAGGAGTAGAAAAGCGCCGCCAACTTTTGTCAGTGTTACTTACAAAATCCTGGCCAAAAACATCTCAGTACGGGAACAGGTCTGGCTTGCATCCTTGTACTGTGGAGTTTCTTCTCACCTGGAACCCGATGGTTGAATATTTCCATTTGTTTGGTAACTAAACATGTTATTTTCTTATCTAATACTGAGTCTTAAGTCGGTATTGGTAAGTGCTCGCCCAACTACAAGGTATTTTCTTATTTGAGAAATTTCCGTGTGTTTTGTTTAACAGTTTTATGGTAAGCTGTTACGGCTAATGACCTACCACAAAAGACCTAAATAAAATTAAATCTGTAGTAAATAAATAAATCAGCAATTGCTGTATGTTTATTGGTTTGGCACGTTTTCTCAAGGCGACATGACGGAAGCGAAGAACACTCAGGATGTTACCTATCTAAGTTTATGGAGGAAAAGGTTCAGATTCGCTATTTACGCTACAACATTGAATTTCAACAAATTCATCACCGATTGGAATGTGGTTACTGGTCACCGATTGTACATCATAATACTCGTCTCGATATAACAATGTAAATGCCCTTTATTTATTTCGATGACAGCAATTTTAAAGCTCACAAATCTAAAAGATCAGCTTAAAATTCAAAACGAGGCCTGTCTGCCTATATGCGCTGGCGCCCCTTAGCAACGTTGCCATTTTGCTTCGCACAACATGGCAGCAACGGGTGAAGATTCTTCGGCAGCTGAGATCCAGGTAATCGAGAAGAGTCCTAAGTCATCTCAATTCTCAAGGTAAATCTTTTATTTCTGAGAGATAAAGCAGAGGTTAATGTCGAGGAAAAGGTTGTTGTTATTCATCGTGGTAGATGCAATAATAAAGTGTATTATCTTTTGTCTCACGATGTAGTCACTTGAGATGTAGATCGCGACGTTTCGACTGCTTACTGCTAGTCTTCTTC